GCCATGGCCTGAGGGTGGGATCTGGGGAACCTCCCCATACCCCCATGGACACTCACCACTGCAAGCCCACAGCCACTGGCACCAGGGTGCTGGGTGCAGCCTCAGCCCTGATGGGGTGACCAGAGAGCATGGAGCGGGTGGGGGGCTTAGGGTCATGGTCCTCGAGCACTCACCTCGCACTTTGTCCCTGTTGTGGCTGAGCCAGCGCCAGAGGGGCAGGATACTGCAGCTGCAGCCCCAGGGGTTGTCCTGCAGGAAGAGGGCTTGGAGCTGGGGCAGCGCTTGCAGCACCCCAGGCTCCAGCTGCCTCAGCCTGTTTCCACCCAGGTTCAGCTTGGTGAGGCTGGTGAGGGGCAAGAAGGTTTCGGGGCTCAGCATGGTCAAGTAGTTGTCACTTAGATCCAGCTCCTGCAGTGCTCCGAGCCCCACCAGCGCCTGGCTGTGGATGAGCCCCAGATGGTTGTGGGGCAGGCTGAGCACCCGCAGCCCCGGCAGCGGCGGGAAGGAGCGCGGCCCCAGCACGGTGATGAAGTTGTAGCCGAGCCACAGGGTGCTGGTGTTGGTGGCCAGGCTCGGGGGCACCTCGCGGAGCCCGTGCTCGCTGCAGTCCACGTTCCCCACGGAGCAGCGGCAGGCGGCGGGGCAGCACGGCGAGGGCAGCGGGCGCAGCAGCAGCAGGCAGGCCAGCACCGCTCCGCGGCCCCACCAGCACCCCATGGCTGAGCACCGAGCGACGGGAGCTCCAGAACCGGGGCTCCCCCACGGCCAGGATCCTTGGTGCCCGTCCAGCCACTCAGCGCTCCCAGAGGTGCGGGCTGGAGGTGCCGGGCAGTGCTGGGAGCAGGTGGATGAGCAGCCCCGGAGCCGCTGCGCTCCCGGGAGCGGTGGATGAGCAGCTCCGGAGCCGCTGCACTCCCGGGAGCGGTGGATGAGCAGCTCCGGAGCCGCTGCACTCCCGGGAGCGGTGGATGAGCAGCTCCGGAGCCGCTGCGCTCCCAGCCCCGGTTTTGCCTCGGGGTGGAGCTGAACTTTTCTCAGCAAATATTTCCGCTGTGATGCTGCCCTGGCAAGGTGCTGGGCCGAGCCCTCGTTCCTCCCTCTGCCAGGCACCGCTCCAGCCAGGTAAGCATCCAGCTCACCATGGCCCGGGATTAACTGCTTGTGTGTGCTGCAGGCTGGAAAGAAGCAAACAAAACCAAACCCATCTCTTGGCCTTCATTCTCCCCATGGGTGTGCTGCCTCATCATAGGATCGGAGAATTGTTTGGGTTAGAAGGGAACTTACAGTTCATCCGGTTTCAACTCCCTGCCACAGGCAGGGACACCTTCCACACCCCACCATCAGCAATGTCCCAGGTTACTCCAAGCCCCTGTGTCCAACCTGGCCTTGAACACTGCCAGGGATGGGGCAGCCACAGCTTCTCTGGGCACCCTGTGCCAGCGCCTCAGCACCCTCACAGGGAAGAACTTCATTAGCCATGTACAGACGGGTGTATGGACCCAGGACCCCCATAACTAGCTAGGGTGGGATAAAGCTTAAGTTGTACCATCATCAGATGTAACCCCATCTTGTGTGCTGGCTCACCATGGCCAGAGGTCCTCAGTGGGGAGTGCTGCTGGCAGCCATGGGCCACCCCACTGAGCCCAGCCCTTGACCAGTCTCTGTTTGCCCTTGGCAGGAGAGCACAAGCCATGCCAGAAAGAGGAGGGTTGGTATGGGGGTCCCACGGGCAACCCTCCTCCTCCCCAGCAGGACCACACGTCTGGGTGCACACTGGGAACACCCAGGAGCCCCCATGTTAGAAGCTGTGAGAAAGGTGAACCCACTGGGCTGCAGCCACCCAAAACTTGTTTACCCTGGCCCTGGCATGGCAGCACCAGCTCGAGAGGGCTCAAAGTCTGCCCCCACCCTGTTTATACCCGCTCCGGTTTCAAGCTGCTGAAGCCCCACAGCAGAAGGGAGAGGAGAGGAGAGGAGAGGAGAGGAGAGGAGAGGAGAGGAGAGGAGAGGAGAGGAGAGGAGAGGAGAGGAGAGGAGAGGAGAGGAGAGGAGAGGAGAGGAGAGGAGAGGAGAGGAGAGGAGAGGAGAGGAGAGGAGAGGAGAGGAGAGGAGAGGAGTCACCTCTTGGTGTCCCTGGCAGAACCTGGTGGACACCCGGGACACAACCAGGAGCACCTCATCCCACTGGCAGCCCAAAGAGGGGACACCATCCTCTACACACACCATGGCAGTTCCTGTCCTGTTTAACACCCTCGTGCTGGGTCATCATGGCCAAAGGGCTGGGAGGGCAGCAAGGCAGTGCACAGGGTGTTCCCAAATCTGGGCCAGAAGCAGCAGGCAGGAGGTTTATTAATAGCATCCAGAGGAGCTTTGGGTTGTTTATCTATCCTGCAGCAAACTCGGTTTTACTGCATTAATCCCCATCTGGAAGTAATTCAGAGGAATCCTACAGCCCAGCCCAGCCCTGGAGCAGGGCACAGACCTGCAGCCACGCGGACCTGCAACACCAGCTCGTCCTATAGCTGTGGGCTATATGGGGACAGGAATTTTTAGGGATCCCTGTCCCCAAATGCTCTTCCTCCCCAGGGGATGCACTGCCTGTGGCCACCTAGGATCAGGAGGGAAGGGCAAAATTCATTGTGGGGGGAAAAAAAAAAACAACAAACACTATTAAATAAAGAGTATTCACGCTCAGAGGCCCCAGGAGCTGCAAACCCACCCCAGCCCCTCACTGTCACCCTGCTGCACACTCCATGGCACATGGCAAGATGTCCCCAGTGTCCTCCATGCAGGGACACCAGCAAGTGCAGGGCTGGTGCTGTTTGTGCAATGCAGGCATTGGCTGCAGCAGCTGCAGGCTGGTGACACTTTGGGGTCCTGCCCCCGGCAGTGACGCTGTCCCTTCACACTTGATGCCAGTGCTCATCAGTGCCCCATCCTCTGGACCCAGCACCTGCAGGGAGAGCCCAGCTCCCTGTCCCCAGCCAGGGCTGCACCCACTGGTGCCCTGCTCCCCACCGGGGTTTAGGGTTCCACAGGGAATGGCGCAGCCTGGCCCCCAGGCGGCTCCAGGGGAGGCTGCTCCAAGCACCCACTCTGCAGGGACAGCCCAGGTGCCCTGCGCTGACTGATGGAGGAGGCTCAACACCAGCCCTGCTCTGGTCAAGGGGTGTAAATCAGGGTGCCAAGACTGTTCCCACAGTGAAGTGATGCAGGGGAATCACTTGATGAAGGGAACCCTTCCCACACTGCTCCCAACCTCCACCATTGAGTATCTGGGGAGAAATGGAGATAGAGGGCAAGATGCTAAGACTCTGTGTTAGCTCTCCTCCTGTCCTTAAAGGCTTTCGTTTATTGCATGTTTCCATGTGATCAAAGACCCGAGGCAGGTTCGAACCACATCACACATCTGCTGTCCCACCGGACACCTCGGGCTGGGACATCCCTGGTGTTCCTGCACCCATGGCTGGAGCTGCCCAGGTTGGGCTCTGCTGGGAACAGCTCAGCTCGGACTCCTTATGGCAGGTGACACCAAGTGGTAGAACTGTGCATGGGTGCTGGACACGGGGTGAGGGCTGTGCTGGGTATGGGTGCTGTGCATGGGGTGGGTGTTGTGCACTTGTGGGTGCTGCGCATGAGTGGGTGCTGCACACGTGTGGGTGCTGTGCAGGGGATGCTGCACAGGGTATGGGTGCTGGACTCCTCTGGCTGCAGCCCTAGCACCCAGTGCAGGGGACAGTCAAACACCAGGACAGCCCAGGGGACACAGGATCGCTGCGACTGCAGGGAGCACAGCCTGGGGTCCCCTGCTGAGCCCCAAGGGGCACCCATGGTACCTGGTGCTGGACAAGCTGAGAAAGTTGGGGCTGTTCAGCCTGGGGAAGAGAAGCTGCGTGGAGATCTCATAGCAGCCTTCCAGTATCTGAAGGGGCCTATAGGGATGCTGGGGAGGGACTCTTCATTAGGGACTGTAGCGACAGGACAAGGGGTAACGGGTTAAAACTTAAACAGGGAAAGTTTAGATTGGATATAAGGAAGAAGTTCTTTACTATAAGGTTGGTGAGGCACTGGAATGGGTTGCCCAGGGAAGTTGTGAATGCTCCATCCCTGGTGGTGTTCAAGGCCAGGCTGGACAGAGCCTTGGCTGACATGGTTTAGTGTGAGGTGTCCCTGCCCATGGCAGGGGAGTTGGAATTTGATGATCTTAAGGTCCTTTCCAACCCTAACTATTCTGTGATTCTGTGATTCTGTATTGGAAGAGCTCATAAACCACATGGAAAATAGATGCAGGAAATGGGCTCTGTGGAAGGACCACAAGAGCTGCCCAGGTAGTGCCAAGCCCTGCCCAAGAACTGGTTTGGTATCACCCTGGTGGACCCCAGTTCTCCACATCTGGCCTCTCTTAAACACACACCCAGATGTCTGGGGTCTTGTCCTTGCACCCACTGTTTGGGGTCAGGCAGAGAAAGTCTTGCTGGCAGCAAAGGCATGGCCTGGAGAAACGGCAAAGGGGCTGGAGCAGAGGGTTTGCTTGGCTGTGAGGCAGAGAGGTGGGAGAGGGGCAGGGGGGAAATCCAAACCTGGCTTGTGCCACAGAGCACAAGAACAAGCAGGAGCTCCTGCGGGCTCTGCTCTGCATTACTGGGGCAGAGTAGGTGGTGGACACATAAATCTGAAGAGCTGGAGCAACGTGTTGTGGTCTCCTGACAACACTGTCATCCTCGATTTCAACTGTCCAGCTACCCCAATGCTCAAATTACTCATGCAAGTGGCCAACAGAGCAAACACAGGATAGCGATCAGCTGGGCAGGTCGCTGCTCCGCATCCCAACCCCAACATTGCAGGGCTTGCCCCAGGATTACCAGAAAATATGACCAAGACATGCAGGCCAGCAGGGCCAATGGAGTGTGGTTTAATGGGTGTGAAGCTTTGAGGGTGTTGAACATGGCCCCAGAGTATCACTGTGTCACCTCCCATGTCCCCAGGGATGCTTGGTGGAGATGTCCCTGTTGAAGAGCTACATGCATAGAGAAGCCATGGATGAGCAAGGCCCTGGCCAGGGACCAGGGGCCGTCTGTGATGGCTGGGTCAGGCTTCTGAGTTGCCAGAGGAGCAGGTGAGCAGGACGAGAGGGTGAAGGCATCCTCATCATCCACCCTGCTGCACCCCAAATCCCAGCAGGACGGACACTGGCAGGATGGGCAGTGAGCCCTAAGCAAGCTGAAGCCCTTCCCAGGCTGCTCCTGTCCACACATGGCCAAGAGGGTCCCCAGCAATGGTCCCAGACTGCACTCAGCAGCTCCCTGCTCATGCTCAGCTCTCGAAGGCGGCCGTCACCCCACAGCATGAGCACGGCCGGCAGCAGCCCCGCCGGGGAAACAGCGCCGGAGGCACCGCGTCTTGGCACAGCCCCGCTGGCTGCTGCGTCACCACCTTCTCCTTGCACGAGCCCTTGGTGGCCGGGTCGGGATGGGACCTGCCGGGCACCTGGGGATGCTCCTTGTCGGCCTTGACGGCGAGGAAGGTGGCGAGGTCGAGGTCGAGCATGGCAACGCCGCCACGTGGTGTGGGCGTGTTTTGGCGGCACTGCGGGCAGGGGATCCAGCGCTGCTCGTTGGCCACAGCGTCCAGGCGCTTCAGGCAGGCCTGGCAGAAGGTATGGCCGCAGTAGAGCCGGCGCGGCAGCCGCACGCCCAGGTCATAGGAGGAGTAGCAGATGATGCACTCGACACGCTGGCTGCCCCGGCTTGGGGTGCGCGAGGGGACCCTGACACACGGCCCCGCGTCCTCTGCCCATGGGCTGCCACTGGCATCAGACATGCTGGGGACGGGAGGGTGAGAGGAGCTGTCAGCCTCACGGCCAAGGAGGAGTCCCATGGGATGTGCAGCCGATATGGGAGAGATGGGGACCGACCCCATGTGTTGGGCTATCAGGGGCATCAGGCTCCTTCCCCCCCATCCCTGCCTGCTGCCTGCATGGCCCATGGCTAGCTCTACTTGGAAGAGCAGGACCCAGTTCTAGGCTCCTCTACAAGAAAGATAACCAGCTATGGGGAAAGGTCACAAGGATGCTCAAGGGTCTGGAGCATTTCTCCGAGATTGCTCGGCCTGGTTAGTCTGGAGAAGAGCAGCCTGAGGGCAGATCCCATCCATGCAGATCAGTATCTCAAATGTGGGTGCCAGCAGGATGGTGCCAGACTCTTTCCAGTGGTGCCCAGTGACAGGACGAGGAGCAATGGCCATAAACTAACACGCAAGTGTCACCTCAACATGAGGAAGAAGTTCTTTCTGCTGAGGGCATCAGAGCCCTGGCACAGGCTGCCCAAGGGGGATTGTGGAGTCTCCCTCTCTGGAGACATCCCAAACCCACCATGGACATGTTCCTGTGTGACCTGCTCTGGGTGGCCCTGCCCCAGCAGTGGATTGGACTGGATGATCTCCAGAGGTCCCTTCCAACCCCAACAATTCTGGAATTCTGTGTCCTTGCCACTGCATGTAGGGATGTAGGGATCCCCTACATGTAGTTCCCTGCATCCATGGGGGATGCATTACCCTTGTGCCATGCTGCATCCCTGGCTGAGAGCTCTGCCAGCTCTGCCATTCCACAGGGAATAAGGGCTGGACAGACCTCAACAGCCTGCTTAGGTGAATGTGGGGCAGGAGTGGGTTTGACCGTGGACAAGAGAGCAGCATCCGGAGGACCAGGCAGTGCCACAGCCCTGTTCCTTACCAGCCCCAGGCCATGCCAGGTGACCATGGTATCACTGTCAACATTATGGGATGGGCATGCCAGAGGATCTGAGGGGTCCAGGCTCATCTCAGGTGGGGTCTGGTAACCACCACCATGTTTGAAAACCTCTCCCAGAGGCTACCAAGACCCCACTCCCTCTCTACTGAGTGACCTCAAGCATTTTGGTGTCCATGGGTGCACCCCTCCACCCAATTCCCCCATTCTTACCTGTCCTGAGATGCTCCCCCAGGGCCTCAGGGGAGGTGGCAGAAGAGCTGCGTTGTTCTGGGGGGCTGTGGCAGTCCCATGGAGAGCACTGGGAGCCCAAGACACCAGCAGCAACCAGTCAGGTCCGGGCGGCTGCTGGTGGCTGTGGCAGTGGGAAGGGGCTCACCTTTCAGGGACAGGCATGCTATCGGATCTGGGAGATTGGGTTACAAGCATCCGGATAGCACAGCCTCGGAAATCCAAGTCCCAGGAAGGGTCATTAACCACCCGTCTCTGCTTCATAAGCAGAAGGAACGGTCCCCATGAGGCCAAGAAGCTCTGGGCTGCACCATGAGAGGAGAGGGCTTGGACATCTCTGTACCTGGGCAGCAGCATTGCAGTCTCCCACATCCTCGGCTACCCACCATGAACAAGAACATCTGGGCAGATGCTGGCCAGCAGAGACACCCCATCCCCTGCTCATCCATCCCCAGGTGATACGGGCTGTGGTGGGGCGGGAGGCACAGAGAGACCCCAGGGTGCAGGGGCTGGGGCTGGCACAGGGACAAGGCTCCAGCGTGGTCCAGGCAGGTAGCACCCACGTGTGGGGTGATGCTCCTCATCCAGTGCCTGGGGGTGATGCATCCGTGACCTGCCCTTGGTCCGGCAGCAGCGCTGCAGACTCACCACTGAACAGGGGATGGTTTCAAACGTGGAATGTGGCAGGGGAACAGATCCTGGAGGAGAAAAGCACATCCTGGAGCCAGGGCAGGACTGCCAGATACCCGGCAGCATTTCTGCATGGGAGCAGGAGAGGGCAGCAGCTCCCGCTGCAGGCAACAGTGCAGGCAGGGACACAGGCAGTGCTCTCCTGCATTGCCTGCTTACCAAACATCACCCCAGCTCTCGGGTCATGCTTCCAGCACTCCTCAGCAGCAAGAACTGGGGGGGTTGGAAACTGAGACCCTCATGGAGTCACTGGACTCTGCAGAAAAACTTCACCCCTTGGGGCTGGTGTTTGGGAGCAAAAGCAGAGCCGGAACACAGCAGCACAGTGGGCACAGTGGCCATGTCCTGAGACAGGATCCTGATCCATCCCGTCACAGGTTTCCCCAGGCAGTGCACATGGGGTACATGGTCCCCTGTGTCCCCAGGCGTGGCGAGAGTACCCGATGGCAGGGCTTTGCCTTCCCCTTACCACATTGGCAGCAGGCAAGGGATGTGGCTGTGTCAGGAACCCCAGCCATGGCCTAACTCAGTGGCCAAGGTGAGGCAAAGGCCATGTGTCCTGGTCAGGTCAGGACCCAGCTTTGCTCTGGCATTTCTGGGTACTACCAGGATGGCAGCACTCTGGGTGCCAGCGCTGGAGCCTGTATGAGCAGCATGCTCCTTCCAGGGCCATGTGCTCAATGATGTGCAAGGCAACTGGGTGCCTGGAGATGTCCAGGCATGTCCCAAAGCTGGCAAGAGTCACTCTCCCACCCAAAGCACGCTCATTGCTCATCTGCCACAGGGCGAGCTATGGAGGAGGTGTCAGCCCCTTTGGGCAGTGGGAGCCTATATGGGTGAATGAGCTTGGCTCCCTGCACAATGGAGCCAACAGAGCCCCTGGCACTGCCTTGGAGGCCTCTCCTTGCAGAAATGAGCACACACTCACACAGGCTCCCTGCCTGTCCTCCTACCCCCCTGCAGCCCCTGCCCAGCCCCTGCCCACCTCGTGTCCCCCTCCCATATGCACCAGAGCTGTGTCCTATTGAGCCGCCCTCTTCTGCCTGTTGCATGCAAGCCACGGTGTGGGGCTGTGCACCCCGGCTCACCCGCCCTGCACCCTTGGTGGCATGGGCTGTGCAGCACGAAGGGTGACACCGGGGGCTCGCTGCCTGGAACCAGCCCTCAGCGCCCGCTGCGCTCCTGAACGCGGGTACGGGGGAGGCGTCTCTGCAAGCGGCAGTGACACACAGGGGTGGGAAACGTGTTTTCCTGCTCCCAGGACTCATCCCGAGAGCTGCAGGGACCTTGGGCACAGCGGGACAGGGAGCGGCACCCGCAGGGCAGGGCAAAGGTCTGCTCGAGATGAGCCAGCGCCACGCATCAGCTCCCGTGCTCCACACACGGGAGGTGGCAAGGCTCTATCACAGCCCTGCGCACCCCTGAGCGCCCAGCAGAGATGCAACACACCCCGGAGCACCCATGGGACCCTGCCCATGTCACCCAGAGCCCCGCCAAGGTCTGCAGCAGCAGCATCCTGTGCCCTCCCCTGCTCACACCCCCCCCCCCCACCCCCCAGCCTTCCTGCTTCTCTGGTTTAATCATTGCCCAGTGTCTGCCCAGCCTCTCCCACCTTGTTTGCCATCGCCCCGGGGCTAGGCAGAGCGAAGGGCAGCAGTGACACAGCACCACAGGCAGATGCTGTACCCTGCCAGCTCCGTGCCCGCACCCCTTGTCCCCCCGGGGCTCTGCTGAAGGCACCGCACCCCCTTCGGGGACACTTCTTCCCAAACCGTGTTATCCCGGGGTTTATCAGACGCCGGGGCACGGAGCAGCCTCTGCGGGTGCTGGTTTGAACCAAGCCAAGGTGGTGACACCAAACCCTGCCCAGCCGCGCCGCGGGTGGGCTCCATGGCACGGCAGGGCCGGCGTCGGGGCCACCAAAGCAAACACGGGGTGGATCTTCCTGTCCCTGCGCCAGCGCTGCTCCAGGCAGGGCGAACAAGAGCGCTCCTTGTGCAGGGCAAGGCGTGGGCAAACTGTCAGGGCTCAGCCAGCGGCACCCGCGCCCAGAGGCTCATAGGGGTGGGGGGATTTCAAGGGTGCTGGGGTCCCAGGGAGTCACAGCCAGCCCGGGCAATACCACAACTCCTCCCTTCCCCAGCCAGGAACCTACCCCTTCCCCAGCCCTCCCCAAACCCAGACTCCTTCTTTCCAGAAGACAGGACAGCATCCAGCTTGGCAAGGGCAGGCTGAGCTCCAGCCAGCGTCCCTGGGCAGGCAGGCACTGGCTGTACTGGAAACGCCAGGGAGAGGGGAGCGTTGGGCTCTGGCTGATTGCTGAAGAGATTGTGCCACTGCTGCTGCCCCACGTCAGCACTGCAACAGTTAAACCTGGTTTTGAAGGGAAAGGAGAGGGCTGCGTGCCTCCTGCACTGCCCTGACACAACCCCGGGATAAGCAAGACGGAGCATGGGAATCCCGGAAAACCCAGGGCATAGGAGGGAAGAGGCACAAGCCTTGGCAGGGGAGAAGATGGCTGTGATTTTATTTGCAGCACCCTGAAGTCATCACTCTTTCCAAGCCCTTGCAGACCAGGCAGCTCCTGCAGCAGCTTCCAAGCCAACACAAGGGCCAGCTTGTTCCAGGTCGGTGGCACCAGCCCCAGCCCAAAACCCAGCCTGGAGCCCCACCAGCAGCAATGCAAGAGCCCAGGAGGATCCTCACCCACCATCCTCCATGCCCAGGGAGTCACAGAAGGCTAATGATAGGGGTCTGCATCCCAAATAGGGTGTCCCAGTGCTCTCCCCACTGGACCAGCCCCAACGCAGTGTGGAGCTCAGGCCGGGATGTGCACAGGTCAAGGGGCTGTGTGCAGCACCCCACATGCAAGAGGAACCAAAAGGGGCCAGGGGTCTCCTGGCACTGGGATGTTAACACCCACAGCCATGCTGTGCCATGGGGCACTGCCCAGCACCCTGCCACACTTTGTCTGTCCTTCCCATCTCCTTCCCTCTGTCCCATGGCCAGTGTGGCAGGGGGGGAGAAGTACACAGAGGAGCTAGGCACAGGGGCTGCCCCATCCCCACAGTGCTGTGGGTGGGGGGACCCCTCAGTTCTGGGGATGTGGGTCCCAGTCCTGGCTGGAGACATGTCCCTGGCTTCCCTCCAGGAG